AATGCACAACTCGGTGTCTTTGCCCAAATCCTCCCTGCCCTTGCTGGTTCAAGTCACCCCAGGCTTGGAGTGGTGGGGGTTGAGGTCGGGATGGGAGTTCTTTCCGAGCTCCACCATGGAGGCTGTAGCCTTGAGTGGAATAGGGCAGGATGGGAGAATCAGGTGACAGTTGACCTTTCTTGGAGGGCCAGTGACATCCCGGCTTGACTGCGTTCATCAGCAAAGGCTTTGTTCCTCAGCTGTGATGCAACATGATCCAGCTCATAGGCAATCTTCAGCACAGAGATAACTCTGGACCATTTTTCTGACCTTCAGCTGGAGGATTTTGTGAATATCTCTCACGGTCTTCTGTGCCGTAGGGGATATTGTTATTTTACGGATGAATAAACCATGGCAAACAAATGCAGAACCTCTTCTGAGCAAAGCTCAGAGAGTAAAGCTCTTTCCAAATGACCTTTAATGTGTCCATTAGTCTTCAACAATTAGTAAGTACTGGTAGAGGATGAAATCCGTTGCAGTAGGTGTTGACATGTACGGTGAGAGTCCCCAGAGTTTTCATATTTTCTAGAAGGATGGAGAAGGTTGAACGTGAGTTGGAGCTGGATGCCTGAAATCCTCCCAATTGTTTTTCTTTCCCCCCTGAAAATGTCAGTGTACATCAGGCAGAGGTTCAGCGCAGCAAACTTGCCAGGGCACGAGAGCGTGAACTTGCTGCTGTTCTCCAGAACAAGCTCAGTCTGTAACGTCCTTACGTGGGCAAAGGCGACGAGTGGGGCTTGGCTCATCCTTTGTCTGCCCCTGTCCCTGCGAAGAGGGTCCTACCCTGATGCCGAATGCCATCGCTATGTGGGAACAAACAGCCCTTTTTTCAGAGGGAGAGAAGCCTTTTCACCCGGCCAGCGGAGGGCTCAAGCATCCAGTGTGTGGGACAAGGGGGAGAGGTAGCGATAGCGTGCTGCAAGCCTCAGCCACTGCCTTCAGTGGCAGATGAGATGGAGAAAAACTAAATCTCCGTGTGGTGAGTGAGCGGGCTTAGCTCAGCTTTTGGCAAAAGAGCAGCAGACCCTTGTGAATTCACAGAATCACCGAATCCTTCAGGTTGGAAAAGCCCCTCGGGGTCAGCGAGTCCAACCCTCAGCCCGACTCTACACAGTTCTCCCCTACCCCACATCCCCCACAGCTCATCCCAACGGCCCTGAAACCCCCCCAGGGATGGGGACTCCCCCCTCCCTGGGCAGCCTGTTCCACTCTCAGACCACTCTTGCTGGGAAACATTTTCTCCTCCTGCCCAGCCTGACCCTCCCCTGGGGCAGTTTCCAGCCGTTCCCTCTTGTCCTGTCCCTGATCCCCTGGGAGCAGAGCCCAGCCCCAGCCTCTCTGCAATGTCCTGTCAGGAGCTGCAGAGAGGGATGAGGGCTCCCCTCAGCCTCCTCCTCCTCAC